GTATTGGTATTTAGACACCACCTTTTGTATTGGTATTTAGACACCACCTTTTGTATTGGTATTTAGACACCACCTTTTGTATTGGTATTTAGACACCACCTTTTGTATTGGTATTTAGACACCACCTTTTGTATTGGTATTTAGACACCACCTTTTGTATTGGTATTTAGACACCACCTTTTGTATTGGTATTTAGACACCACCTTTTGTATTGGTATTTAGCAGGAGTACGAATATGTATATACTGTTCTCATAGCAAGGGTAAAACCTCAATTTATCGTCAACCCTTTTGATGTGAGGTCCGAGAAGGTTAGTGCAATTATGTTTCTCGCGCCGTGTTTGCCATCTAATGCGAACACCGGCAAACACGCCCAAATCACATGGATATAGGAGCACCACATGATCAAGATATAACCGTGTTCGAGTCATCCGATGACGGTATATTGAAGAAAGCGCTTCAATTGACGACATCGGAGCACAAGGTAAGTGGCATAATTTTGTATTCTGGGAGTAAAATTATAAAGGAAAAGTGGTGCATACGCTTTGGTACGTTGAGAAGATAGCTGTCAACTTTTCTCCGCGTCAGGTTGAATACACAATTGTGATGCAGATTACGCAGCTTCACATGCGGATGTGATACGTTCTCGAAGGGTGGTGTATCCACTGCACGCTAAGCATCAACTTAGTAAGTGGCTGATTATAAGACCACAGATACATGACACGTACATTGGGCATGAAGTTTGTACTTAGCTGTTAATATAGCCACTACGCTACTCTGGTTGAGCATATAGACTTCCTTATTCATTGTCGTACCATTTGATTAGCCTTGATACAGTGTGTACTTAATTTTCATAAGTTACAATGGGTGAGAATGTCTGTATCGCTCCTGTACTGTCTAATTTAGTAGTTAGCCTTCCTGGATGCCAGACATCATCAAAGCTACTGTGCTGGTTGTAGTTAATTTCAATCTATTATGATGTAAGCAAATTCAAGCACAATGACCATTCTATTTGGCCACCTTCTTTCGCAGAGGGGGAAATTCACCGATCTCGCCGGATTCACCATTCGGTGCAGTGACTGCCAAAAAGGGTTGAAAGGTCAAAAGGACGCCCAAGTGCATGCAACATCTACAGGGCACACGCGTTTCGAGGAATACAGATGACAAGGCCGACTTGTATAGATAGTTGGGTTTGGTTTGATACCATGGTTTCAAAGATGACCAGAACAACTTGATTTTTTGTCTGGTTTGCTTTTGTGGCAGAAAGCATAATGCGTATGTTGCCAAGTTTGGAGACTGAATTAGTGTTGTGAGTAATGATCTCCGAGTTATTGTGGATAGATTAAAAAAGGACACCGGTTAACAATACTTTGCGCTATTTTCTCAAGAAATTCTCACATATTTAGTCCAAAATCAGCTGAGCTTAGCAGTTGGCCATAAATTAAATGGCCACTGTAGCACTGAGTCAGTCAATATATCCATATATGCATATATACATATATATATATATACATACATACATACATCCATCCATACATGCATGCATACGTGCATGCATACATACATACATACATACAAACACATACATACATATATATATATATATATATACATTCATACATACATACATACATACATACCTACATATATATATACATTCATACATATATATATATATATATATATGTATATTTATATATACTATATGTACATATATTTATACACATATAA